CCTCCCCCCCCACCCCTCCTCCTCCTCCTCCTCCTCCTCCTCCTCCTCCTCCTCCTCCTCCTCCTCCTCCTCCTCCTCCTCCTCCTCCTCCTCCCCGCTCCGTCTGCTCAGCCTCCTTTTCTTTCTCCCCACCTGGCTAGCACCCATCCTGCTCAAACCTCGCGCCGCTGGGTCGTGTCAAGCTAGGCGCGATCGCCGCGTCGCTGATGCCCCGCTCGCTAATGCAGCTGGCTGGACTCCTTGCCGGCGGCGGCCACGCCGAGGGCGGCCAGAGCCCTCGGCCCACCACGGAGGAGCCGAGGTGCGCCCTGCAGCCGACCCTGGCGAGGCGATGGAGCCCGACGATGATGCCTGGGCCGACGATTTCCCTGTTCTGCGAGGCGGCGCGGGAGGAAGCACGCTGGCCATGGCAGCAACGGCGGAGGGCGTGCGGCGCTGTGGCGACGACGGATTCGTCGACCCCGACGCGCTGGCCCCGCTCGGCGCCTCCGACGCCCGGTGTTGCCTCTGCTGCCGACCCCCCCTCGGAGGAAGACCGGCGCGCGGCGGAGATCCTCCCCCCCGAGGCGAGAGCAACGCTAGGCTCGGGCTGAGCAAGCTGAGCTGGCGCGCCCAGCAGCCGCTGCTGGTGGCGCCCGCCTCGCTTGCGGAGGTAGAGACCGCGATCGCGGAGGCGGCCGGGGGGGGGGCGGCGGGCAGCTCAGGTCCTGCCCAGGCACGCTGCTGGCTGACTGCTCTGTTGGACACTGCCATCTTACGGGTGAAAACTTCTCCTCATTCGCCTCCTGTTCCTCCTCCTCCTCCTCCTCTTCCTCCTCCTCCTCCTCCTCCTTCTCCCCCTCCACCTTCTCCCCCTCCTCATCCTCCTCCTCATCCTCCTTCTCCTTATCCTTTTTCTCCTTCCTCCTCCCTCCTCCTCCTTCTCCTCCTCCTCCTTCTCCTCCTCCTCCTCCTCCTCCTCTTCCTACTCCTACTCCTCCCCCCCAAATCCTTCCCCCTCCTCCTCCTCCTCCTCCTCCTCCTCCTCCTCCTCCTCCTCCTCCTCCTCCTCCTCCTCGTCCCCCTCCTCCTTTTCCTCTTCCTCCCCCTTTCTCCTTTTCCTCCTCCTACCTGCTGATCCTCCCTGCTCCATCCTATCTCTCTTTCTGCCTGCTTCTCGAGAATTCAAAGATGGAGGTATCTGGACATATTCGACCAGTTTGAGACCCTTCTAGGCCTCCTTGGAGGACCTGGAGATACCTCCAGGTATCTCCTTAGGTGGTTAGGGGTTTGAAGCTATGAGCCTCCTGGTTCGGCCTCGAGTTCCGGCACTTACGTCGGTCTCGGGGCGAGTTTGTCTGACTACGTTCCCGACTGTTGCCAAAGAGGTGTCTGGGCCGACGCTGCTCCTCCTCCGCAGAAGAGAAGAAGCAGGACGAAGGAGAGGACCAGGGCGAGGATGAAGAGGAGGACAAGTAAGAGAGCGAGAAAGAAGACGAGGACGAAGAGGAGGGCAAGGGCAAGGACGGTGAAGGTCACCAGCACGGGGGCAAGGACGGGGAAGAGCAGCAGCATCAGGATGAGCTTGCCAGTGGGTGCGAGGGCGGCTGGTGAGCGAATCCTGAGGCTCCGACCCCGTTAAGACAACCATGCCAAATATGAAACCAATACTATGCAATGTTCCCAGCACCAGGGGAACAGATCGTCCATGCTGGGATTCGCCCGAGCATAGCTGACTCCTGATGGAATGCATGCCAAGCGCGTGGAACACTGCTCCAACGCACCGTTCCAACGCGTGTGCTTTGACGCACATCCTGGGGCTCAGGTTCGCACAGGTGCGGCGACGCCCCCCGTGAGCCGTTCGCCACTGCCGCAGCCCAGAAAGACAAAGAAGGAGAAGGAAAAAGGGGGATCGCCTCCTCCCCCGTCGAGGGACCCCCAGGTCACCAAAAAACGAGAAACGTTTTCGTCCTCCTCATCCTTCTCCCCTCTCCCTATGTCCTCCTCACCACTCCCCGCGAGCGCGCGCCAGAGGTAGGGGTGAGAAAATGGAAAAGGGCGCAAGAACATAGGAGGGGAAGGACGACGATAATGATGGTGATGATCTTTATCATAAGAATGTGATGATGAGGGCGGCGGTGGTGATGATGGTGATGATGGTGATGGCAATGCTGATGATGTTGATGATGGTGATGGTGATGGTGATGATGATGATGATGGTGATGATGATGGTGATGATGATGATGATGATGATGATGATGATGATGGTGATTGTGATGGTGATGGTGATGATGATGATGATGATGATGATGGTGGTGGAGAGGCTGAGGATGATGATGGCGATGGTGACGATGGTGATGGTGATGATGACGATGATGGTGATGGTGATGGTGATGGTCATGGTGATGGTGACGATGCAGATGATAATGATTATGATGATGATGGCTTTGATGATGATGAAGATAATATGATGATGCTGATGATGATGATAATGATGATGATGACGATGACGATGACGAGGACGATGATGATGAAGATGATGATGATGGTGATGATGATAATGATGATGATGCTGATGATGATGCTGATGATGATGATGATGATGATGATGATGATGATGATGATGATGATGATGATGATGATGATGATGATGATGGTGGTGCGCCCGCTGCGGCGGAATTCTCCGACAGCATACACCCAGTGCTGCAATCACACGCTCCCCGCGTCCCCCCCAGACAGCCGATAAGGGGAAAACCCAGCGGTCCGAACCGAAGCTCGCGCCAAGGTCGAGCTCGAGGTCGGAGCCCGCGCATGTGGTGGGCGAGGCCACCATCTCCTGCCGCGGGCAACAGAAGGGGAAGGAGGCTGTCATCCTCCTCCTCGTCCCTCCTCCCTCCCTCCTCCCTCCTCACCCTCCCTCCTCCTCCCTCCCCCTCCCGCTACGCGAGCGGCTGCGATCCTGCGGTCCTGACCCTTACGCACTAAGAAGACCCCAGTGAACGCAAAGGCTCCCCGGGGGCCACGCTTTGAGGCATAGGGGGGGGGGCTGCCATTTGGCGAGCTCGTTGATGGCTTTCTGCCCCCCACTCGGGCTTGTGGAGGAGGAGGAGGAGGAGGAGGAGGAGGGAGGAGGAGGAGGAGGAGGAGGAGGAGGAGGAGGAGGGGGCACTGGCTTCTTTGGAATGTCCCGGAGGCCCGAGCACCTCCGACACCACAGTCTGCCGCCCGCGCCCCCCCCCGGCACGCTGAGGCGTGCCAGAAGGTCAGCGTTTTCTCTATTCGGCATTCCGACATTGGGCGGAAGGGGGGTAAGGGGTAAAGGGGGGTAAGGGGGGGAGGTAAGGGCAGGGGGGGATCAAGGGGGGGGGGGGGGGGGGGGGGGGGGGGGGTAAGGGGTAAGGGGGGGGGGTTAGGGGGGGGGTAAGGGGGAGGGCGGAAGGGTAAAGGGGGGGAGGGTAAGGGTGGGGGGGGGGGTAAGGTGGGGGGGACAAAGGGGGGGAGCGGAAAGGGGGGGGGGGGGTAAGGGGGGGGGGGGGCCTGACTCCAGACCTCTGCTCAATGCGACCGTTTGGAGCCGTGCGTCCTATGGGGGGAGACTCCACCTGCTCGAAACAGGCGCCAGCAAAACAGCCGAGATCTAGTCCATGGGGGGGGGGGAAGGGACTGCGAAGTCCCGCGCCGATCGGCCAAACAATGAATAAAAAAACGATCACAATGCCAAGTGCTGTCTGGCAGGGTTACTGTAACTTTCTCAGGGACCCCCCTGTCCCGGTTGCACTCGCAGTAGGGGCCCGGCCACAAGAAACCTTCCACAAGAAACCCAACCCTGAGACCCCAGGACGTCCATCGATGTTTGGTGTGGGAACGCCATGCTTCCCACAGCAAAAACCCATCGCAACCCAAGAAACCCAGGCCACCCTGGAGGCAAGCGGGGTGTCTCCTGGTATGGAGCAGTATGACTGTCCGATCCCCTGTCCTCCCCCCCTTCCAGCAAGGTCCATAACGCTCTAAGACCGTTCCCAGAACGCTCTGGAACGATTTGTCCCTGCCCCTCAACACCCCCCCTTCACGGATGTAATTCACGGACGGTTTTTCTCCCGAGTTGGATCCCAGGACTGCTGCTTGGCATCCCTTCGGTCTCAGGGCCGAAGACCCCCGGGCTGGAGCCCCTACCATTAAGTCGGGCCTGTCCCCTTACGGGGGATTTTCAGCGAAAAATAAAACAAAACACCAAAAAATAGTCCAAAAATAGTAAGGGGACTATTGCTTGAGTATGTTTTAACCATGTTGGAATACTTTTAAAGTATGTCTATTTTTTCGTCGAAAATCCCCCTGTGGGGGGACAGGCCCGACTTAACCCTACCTGGAAAAGGCACGAACAGAACTTTCGACCACCGCCTGTCTGCCGCACGCCTGCCTCGCGCAAAAGGTCGATGCCCGAAGGCTCCCGGGCAAGAGGCTCGTCGCGATTTTGCTCACGCCGCCCAGCGTGCGGGCGGGGTGCTGCTGAGCTGAGGAGGAGGAGGAGGAGGAGGAGGAGGAGGAGGAGGAGGAGGAGGAGGAGGGGGAGGACGAGGGAGAGGGAAAGTGAGATGGGGAGAGGAGGAAGAGGGCGAGGAGGAAGAAGAGGAGGAACAGGGGGAGGACGAAGGGGAGGAGGAGGAGGAGGAGGAGGAGGAGGAGGAGGAGGAGGAGGAGGAGGAGGAGGAGGGGGAACCAGCCGCTCCTCGCTGTCCTGGGCCCCGCTCGGGCGCCGACGGGGCGCCGCCTGGGATCCTCGGCCCCACCGTCGCCGTTCTATCCTGTCATCTCCAGTCGTCGTCGACGACGACGCCGTGGCCGTCGCCGTCGCCGACGTCTCCAGCCGTCACCGCCGCCGCCGCCGCCGTCGTCAATTTCGTCGTCTCCAGTCGTCGCCAGCCGTCTCCAGTCGTCTCCAGTCGCCTCCAGTCGCCTTCAGTCGTCGTCGCCGCCGCCGCCGTCTTCGCCGCAGACGCCATCGGGGCGCGCCGAGAAGTCTTTCTCACCGGGCGCCGATCAGGGCGCTCCGCCGCGCCCAGGGCCGCGTGCCACCTGCCCGGAAGGGCCGCTCACCAGTTGCCGGCACCCTCGGCGGCCTGGGGGCGGCCGCGGTCCCTCCCTGCCCTTCTCCCATCGCCTCCTCCTCCTCCTCCTCCTCCTCCTCCTCCTCCTCCTCCTCCTCCTGCATCTTCTCCTCCTCCTCCTCCTCCTCCTCTCTCTCCTCCTCCTCCTCCTCCTCCTCCCTCCTCACTCCCCTCCCTCCCTCCCTCCCTCCCTCCCTCCCTCCCTCCCTCCTCCTCCCTCCCTCCCTCCCTCCCATCCTCCTCTTCCTGCACCTCCTCATCCTCCTCGGGGGTAGAAGGAAGGGAAGGAGGAGAGAGGAGGGAGGAGGAGAATAGGGAGGAGGAAGGAACAGGTGATCTCGAAGTGCCGTAATCTTCCACGCCCCCTCCTCCTCCTCCTCCTCCTCCTCCTCCTCCTCCTCCTCCTCCTCCTCCTCCTCCTCCTCCTCCTCCTCCTCCCCTCCCTCCCCTCCCTCTCCCTCCCTCCCTCCCTCCCTCCCTCCCTCGTCCTCTTCCTGCACCTCCTCATCCTCCTCGGGGTAGAAGGAAGGGAAGGAGGAGAGAGGAGGAGGAGGAGATAGGGAGGAGGAAGGAACAGGTGATCTCGAAGTGCCCGTAATCTTCCACGCCCCCTCCTCCTCCTCCTCCTCCTCCCTCCTCCTCCTCCTCCTCCTCCTCCTCATCATCCTCCTCCGTTTCCGCCTCCTTTTTGGCTCCTCCCGCCTCCTTATTCCTCTTCATCCTCATCCCCCCTTCCTCCTCCTTTTCCTCTTCCCTCCTCCTCCTCCTCCTCCTCCTCCTCCTCCTCCTCCTCTTCCTCTTCCTCCTCTTCCTCCTCGTCCTTTTCCTCTTCCTCCTCCTCCTCCTTCTCCTCTTCCTCCTTTTCCTCCTCTTCCTCCTCTTCCTCCTCTTCCTCCTCTTCCTCACCCTCCTCCCTCTATCCCCCAGGGGAGACATGGACAGAATCCTCATCATCGCCCCTGTTACTCCTCATGATCGTCATCCTTATCCGGTCCATTTGAGGTGGAGGTACCTGACGCCTGTCCACACCAGTCGCGTCCAACCCATATTCCATGGCTGCGAACGGGAATTGACAGCACTGTTCCCGCCAATGCTACGGATGGCTTTCGCCGAATGCCACTTGAACGCCTCCCCGTGGGTGTCGCCACCGACGTCGGTCTCGCAGAATACCTGGAAGCGGGCTTTCTCGAGGTCGATGCGCTTCCGGAAGCAACGGAGGACGAAGATGACGTAATTGTCGTTGCAGCTTCTCCGTGGTTCACCATGATCACAACACGCCTGGTTCCACTGCATCTTCAGTCTCTTCGCAGGGGTCCAGAACGTAGGAGCGTGCCAACTTGCGTAAACCATGTCTGCGAAGGAGCAGGAATTGTTTACGATCGTCCACTCGCTGACGTTATCTGTCTTGTTTTCGATGTTGATCCGTATGTCGAAGAACTGGTTGATCCCAGGGTCCTGGTGCTTGTCGTGGCGAAACATGTGGTATATCTTCTGGATGAAGGATTTTTCCTTGCCAACGAACATGCTACGTCCTTGAACCAATGGAGGTCCCAAATGTTGGTGATGTGATGGCATGATCGCCGGGGCCGGGGGACCGGGGGACAAACACGGGGCTCGCAAGGCCCCCCGCGTCCTCGCGGCGGGCGCTCACGGAAGCGATGGGATCAAAACCAGGCGACTCGCGCGCGGGGATTGCTCCCGACCCGACGCGGGGATTGCTGGCGACTCCGCAGGCGCTGCCACCGACGTCAGATGCAGCAGCAGGCGCAGGAGGTTGAAGAGCGAGGGCCTGAGAGGGATGGGAGCCCTCTCCAAATCCAGGCGCGTGAGGCATAGCGGGCGCTCCCGACATGGGCCGAGAGCGTACGCTTGCCGCGCGCAGCAGTTCAGCTTGCACGCGCGCCTCTGGGCCAACTTCTGTCAACGGACTCTTGCTTTTTGGTGTCACATCGTCTCTCACTGCCTCCTCAAGAGCGCTGGCAAACCTACGCGACGTCGTAAAGCTCGCATGCTGCACTTCGCTGTCCGCACCCAAAGGGTCGGCCATCGAAGCAGCAAGAGATATCGACGACGCAAAGTTCGTCGGCAGAAAAGCGAAGTAAAAAAGGTTGCTAACTTGCGAACGGAAGTACGGAGCCGAAGGGCCGAATCGTCCGTCCGAAGGAGATCCACAGGTAGAGGAAGGACGACAACGATGAAGGGTTTTATCCCTCGACGCTGCTCAGTCCTGTCTCCAGTAGTAATCCAATACCTGAGCCGATAGGGGCAACGGTCGAGAAGAGAAAGGCTGGGGAAAAAAAAGGAACTCACACACTACGACCATAGGCAGGGATACGAGGAGGAGGAGGAGAACGCGGAGGAGAACGAGGAAGAGGAGGAGGAGGAGGAGGAGGAGGGCGAGGACGACGAGGAGGAGGAGGAGCGGTGAGGAGAAGAAAGAGGAGGAGGACCTCCCCGTCCTCCCCTCTCCCCCGCCCGATGGCCCATCGGAGGGGGTCTGGGGGCCCGGGGGGAGAGAGAAGGAGCCACGGCGCCACGCCTGGCCGCCCGCGGGCGCGCTCCAGTCGTCGTTGCCGGCCGCGGCGCCTTGGGGCCAGGAGGGGGCACAGGCTTAGGTCGGGCAGGTCCTCGTCCCCCTACGACTTTTGGACTATGTTTGAATGCGGCAAGAGACTGGAACTGCCTCGGGTCGTGCACAAAATCACGACGGGATGAATTCTCGATTTTCGGCCTCTGGGCTCGTCGTGGCAAGAGACCTGGAACCCACTGGAGTCGTGGAAAAAAAACACGGCGGCATGTTCTTTCTCGACGTTCGGCCTTTGGGGCCCTCATTGGGCCTCGGATCCGTCCGAGGCTCGTCGTGGCAAGAGACCTGGAAACCCCTCGCGTCGTGGAAGAAATCACGGCGGGATATGTTTTCTCGATGTTCGGCCTCTGGGGGCTCTCACCGGGCCTCGGGACCGTCCGAGGCTCGTCGTGGCAAGAGACCTGGAATTGAAGGCCTGGAAATGGGCACCATCACCAACACAGGGGGTTGCCTCCACACGGGGAAGATGATCCTAGATGTCGGCGTTGGTGGTACTAGTTCGGTCACATTGGAAGCCCCAGAGCATCACCACCATCACCGAGATCGGGATCTTCTTCCCTCGGTGGAGGCACACCGCTGACATCGGTGTTGGAGTCAACCTCCTAGGCCTGCGACATGGAACCCCCTCGCGTCGTGGAACAAAAACAACGGCGGGATGTGTCTTCTCTCGACGCTCGGCCTCTGGGGTAACCAGCCTCGAACGTATCCCTATCCCTAAGATGGGCGAACAAAAAGCGAAGACAATCTTAGGGATAGGCCCTCAGAAACTGAGGGAATCCCTAAGATCGGCATCGAGGCGAGGTGATGTCAAACATAGGGATAGGGATATGTTTCAAACTGGTAATGGGGGCCCTTGCCGAGGCCCCCGAGAGCGCGCGCGAGCGCCAGCGCGTGCTCGCCCGCCGAGGCCCTGTCGTCACACCACGCGGGCGCTGCAGCGACGGCCGGACACGGGCGGCAGGGCCAGGAAAGCACACGCTGGGCTCGAGCACGTGCCCTTTGGCGGCGCGCACGAGGGTCGTGGAGGGTATTCTAAGCAGCAGGGGCGCTTCTGAGAAGCCCGCGCCCTCTAAGGAGCAGGGGTGCTTCCAAGAAGCAGGGGCGCTGCTAAGGAGCAGGGGTGCTTCTAGATAAGGCCCGCGCCTTCTAGGAAGCAGGGGCGCTTCGACGAAGCCACCTCCTCCGCCCCCCCTCGGCGCGTGGCTGAGTCCCGAGGATCATCGACCTTACCAAGCCTCGGGAACGTCAAGAAACGACCAGGGACGCAAGACCGGTCCCGGGAAATGGGTCGAGACCTCCGGGGTCGACGTCACGAAAAAAGCATGACGTCGGGGGTCTGGGAGAGCTCTCTCGTTCCTTTCGCAGCGTTCCTTTTGTGGCGACACGGCAACGTTGGCGGAAGGTGGATCCCGCGGCTGCTTCTTGCGCAGCGCGCCGTGCTGCAGCATGACGACTGCAGGGTGAGGCGGGTCTCCTGGCTGGGGCACGGCTTCTCCCACATGTCACGGCCCTCTCTCCCTCTCTCCGCAGGTACCCTGCCCCCTCCTCCGTCGCCCTCGCACACGCCTCGGGCCGCGGCGCGCCCGCCCTCGTCGTGCTTCCCCTCTTCGGCGCACCCGAGGAGTGGGCGCCTGGAGGCCCAGGACGTTGGTAAATAAAAGCCAGCCGCCTCGATTCTGCTGCTGTGGCGGAGGTCTGGGTCGGAGGGGCCTCCAGGGCAGGACCAGGGTGAGTCGCTTCGGAGCGTTCCAGGGCGCTCTCAGAGCGTGCCAGAGCGCTCTGGAACGGCCGCGGCGCCCGACCTCGATCTGAGAAGCGGCCCGGAAACCAGAGCCCCTCCTGAGCTCAAAGTGGTCCTCACCTCAGCGTCCCGCTTACAATCGGCGCTTGAAATAGGAAGGCGGCGACAGTAGACCAAAGTGTGAGAATCCAAAGATTCCCTACTATCAACGACCGACGGTGAGGGGCAGCGTTAGGGGGGGACCGACTCACTAGGGAACATCGGCCTGGAATCGGCGACGTATACAAATAATATCATAGACTGTGATATGAAATGATATGCGATGATATAAAATAATATGAGATAAGAGAATACAGTATAATGTACTGTACTATAGTACAACATGTCATGGTATGATATGAAGTTGTTTCGTATAAACAAAATACGGTATACCATAAAATGATATGCTGTATTATGAAATAGTACGATGCAATAAAACATAATACGATAATATAATAACATATGATATAACATGATATAATACGATGAAATATATTATGTGACAGCGTATAACATAGCATGGTATGATATGGCATGGTGTTATAAAATGCTAAGATATCATACGATTAAAAAAAAAAAAAACAAAAAAAAAAAAAAAAAAAAAAAAAAAAAAAAAAAAAAAAAAAAAAAAAAAAAAAAAAAAAAAAACGTATGGTAGAATACACTGCACTTCAATGATATGATAAACTGTGATTTACTACAACTACACTACTACACTAAAAAATGAGATGGCATGATATGATATGGTAGAGGTAACGTAATACAGTATATGTAATATACAAAAGTAAACTATATAATAAAAGAATCGAATATGATAGTACATTAAAGTCAATGTACTATGATATAGCATAATGCAATATTCTATAACGAAAGACAGAATTAATATCATACAACGTGATAGATACGATCGTAGAAACATTTACACAATCAAATGAAATAGACTACAACATATACCTATATATTAATGAAACATAGCATGGTGTAATATAATATACTGTAAAAGACCTTTGTATCATACAATATGGTATAATGTATCATTATATGACATATTATAATGTAATACGAGACTAGATGCTTTAATATAATATAATATATCGCCGATAGAGCGGCGCTATGCCCCCGATAGCGAATCCGAACCATCCTGGGCGGGGTGAACTATCAGCCCCTATCGGCGTTGAATGGGCCAGGGGGGGTCGATGCATTTTCCCCCCCCTGAGCCTATGCCCCCCCAACGTTGCCCTTGAGATGGGTAGTCCTCCTGGACGCGCCGAAAAAAAGGGGTGGGCGTGACCTTCTGGCCCATGGCAAGGAGTAGGCACATCCACCAGGACTGGGGCCCCGGAAACGCGAGGGGAGGTCGAGCCGGGGGGACTGGCTCCATGAGCATCGCATAGGAGGAGGAGGAGGTGAAGGAGGAGGAGGAGGAGGAGGTAGCAGGAAGAGGAGATAGTCAAGGAGGCGGAGTAGGGGGAGGGGGAGGAGGCGAAGGAGAAGCAGGAGGAGGAGCAGGAGGAGGTGCGGGACGAGGAGGAGGGAGGATTGGCCTGGCCTTGGCTCCATTGGCCGACTTACCCGCCTAGGTGGGGACACGCCCGCCTGCTTCTTCAGGCTTCGCGGGGCCATTCCCACCCAGGAGGGCGGGCTGGTGGGGCTGGGAAACAACGGCCAAGTGTAGATGGGAAGGATAGGTTAGACGATGCTGACGTCAGGGGGGGGGGCAGTGACCTGGACTCGTCGAGGCGTCGCCGATGGATTGGCGATAAGCCGCGGCTGGCAAAAACGGGGCGCTCCTGGGCGGGGCGGGGGCCCAGGCCTCGATCGACGATGGACGGGCGGTTCGGGATTGACGCCTGGGCCAGCCCCCCGTCATGTGGAGGCCTGGTGGTGGCTGTTCATCGGCGTCGTCTTCGTCGCCTTGCCCAGGGCCGTGGCCGTGGTCGCCGTCGACATCCACTTTCAAGTAGTTCCCAAACCCACCCTGAGGTCCATCCTGACATGCTTTTCGAGTTGAGTCTGGCCGCGGCGACGGCGACGCCATCCAAAAGGCAAGAACCCCCAGAAAAGCCCCCAAAACCTCCGAAGCTAGGTCGCCGTCGTCGTCGTCGTCGTCAAGTCGCCGTCGTCCAAAGCGTCGCCGTCGTCGCCCCGCGCGGCACCCGTGGTCATGTCGTCCCAGTTCCCGCCGGTGGCCTCCGCGGCGCTCGCAAGGCGCCCAAGTTGGGTTTCGCGTCGCGTTCCAGGGGGGGAAGATCCCTCCTCCCTCCTCCTCCTCCTCCTCATCCTCCTCCTCCCTCCTCCTCCTCCTCCTCCTCCTCCTCCTCCTCCTCCTCCTCCTCCTCCTCCTCTCCTCCTCCTCCTCCCCCCTCTTCCTCCTCCTCCTCCTCCTCCTCCTCCTCCTCCTCCTCCTCCTCCTCCTCCTCCTCCTCCTCCTCCTCCTCCTCCTCCTCCTCCTCCTCCTCCTCCCCCTCTTCCTCCTCACCATCCTCCTCCTCCACCTTTTCCTTCTCCTGGTCCTTATACTTCTCCTCTTCCTCCTTCTCCTCGTCCTCCTCCTCCTCTTAGTTGTATGTTTGTTATTACTCACATTATTGTGCGTCGTATTGCTATCATTCTTCTTGTTGGTATCAGGATTACGACTATTCTTCTTAGTGTAACTATTATTCGCTTTACTATTAGTCGTCGCCTGAGTACTATCGGTGTTAGCAGTATTAGTACTACTAGCATTGCGATTCGTACTCTTTGACTCCAAGCACCATCGTCATCATCATCATCGTCATCATCATCATCATAATCATCATCATCACCAGCAGCAGCAGCAGCAGTAGCATCATCATCATCATCATCATCATCATCATCATCATCATCATCATCATCATCATCATGATCATCATCATCATCATCATCATCATGTGCATCATCATCAGCAGCAGCAGCATCCTGATCATCATCATGATCATAATCTGCATCATCGTCGTCACCACCATCATCATCAGCATCATCATCAACATCAGCATCAGCAGCATCTTCAGCATCAGCAGCATCAGCATCATCATCAGCATCATCAACATCAGCATCAACCTCATCAACACCATCACCACCACCATTATCGTCTTCATCACCAAAAGCATCACCACCACCACCATCATCAGAATCACAATCATCATCACCATCATCATCATCACCATCATCAGCATCAGCATCAGCATCATCATCACCATCATCGACATCATCAGCATCATCAGTATCATCATAATTATCATCATCACCGTCATCATCACCATCACCGTCTTCACCATTATCGTCATCAGCATTGCCACCAGCATCATCACCAGCAGCATTAGCATCAGCAGCATTGGCATCATCACAATCCCTCCGTCTGTCCCTGCTTCCTCTCTCCCTCCTCCAGCCTCCATCCATACTGCATCCATCCTCCATCCCCCCTGCAGCCACTAGCCATTCCTCCCCCTCCCCCCCCCATCCGAGAAGGAAGACCATCCTTTGGAGGGGGGGTGAGAGGGAACGACAGCAGCAGCAGCAGCATCGACAGCAGCATCATCGGTATCGACATCATCATGATCATCATCATCCTCATCGTCGTCATCAACATCATCATCGGCAATATCATCATGTCATCATCATCAACAACACCATAACCATCATGGTAATCATAACTGGCATCAAAACCGACATCAGCAGCGCCATCAGCCGCATCATCAACAACATCGTCAACGCCCATATCATGATCACCACCACCGTCATAGTCAACGTCACCTTGACTGCCATCGCCACCGTCCTTATCATCCCTGTCGTCACCATCAACCTCATCATTGACGTCGCCATCATCGCAATCATCACCACCATCGCTATCATCATCAGCCTCATACTCGCCCGTGGTACCTCCATTACGATAGTCGTCGCCGTCATCATCACCATCGTCAGCACCACCATCGTCATCAAACCTAGCATCATCGTCATCATCAGCATCCCCATCGTCAACATCATCATCACAATCACCCTCCTCATCATCAGCATCACCACCACCCTCACAATCATCACCATCAGTACCATAACCATAATGGTAAACAACATCATCATCAACATCAGCAGCATCGTCCTCATCATCCTCATCATCATCATCATCAGCATCATCATCAATCATCATCATCATCATCATCATCATTATCATCATCATCGTCATCATCTTCATCATCTTCATCATCATCATCATCATCATCATCATCAGCGACACCGTCACCATCACCATCACCATCACCATCATCATGATCGTCCACACCCACACCATGAGCAACACAGCCATCACCACCCCCACCTCTCACACTCATCATCAGCCGTAGCATCATCCCAATCAACATCATCAGCAGCAGCGTCACCAGTATCATCATCCACCCCGAGCGCAGCAAGGCACACCCACACGCTCGAGCGACCTGGCCGCTCCAGTCGTCGGCCGCGGCGGGCTTGGGCGCGACGTACTCCTCGCGCCACCGCGGCGTGCGCGCAGAGGGGGCGCAGCGGAGCGCCAAGGGCTCGACCCCACGAAGACGAGGAAAGGGGGGCCACTATGACGACGACGACGACGACGACGACGACGACGACGGCAACGACGACGACGACGACGACGAGGAGGACGACGACGACGGAGGCGGCGGCGGCGGCAGCGCCGCCGCCGCCGCCGAAAAGGGGAAAGGGGAAGGGGAAGGGGACAAGGAGCAGAGGGAGGGAGGAGAAGGGCGGGCGAGAGTCGCGGGACCAGTGGAGGGATGTGCGCAACCCACTGACGGAGGAGGAGAAGGTCCAGGGGAGGGTGGAAGGTCGGAAGGGAAAAGGGTGGGAACGAGGACGAGGAGGAGGAGGAGGAAGAGGGGTTCAAGAGGAGGAGGAGGAAGAGGAGGAGGATGAGGAGAAAGAGGAGGAGGAGGAGGAGGAGGAGGGGCAGGAGCAACAGCATGAGGAAGAGGAAAGAAGAACTCCTCCCCCTGCTGCCCTACTGCCCTCTGGGCCGGCTCCTGGGCGGGGAACTGGTTCTCCTCCTCCTGCCGCTCGAGCTCCTCGGGGTCGCGCCAGAAGAATGAGTCGACCTCCGCACGCGGGCGCCGAGGCCAGCGGCCAGACGAGGCGAGGTGCAAAGGAGTGCACGGGCCAGGAGCCATCCATATCCGATGCTGGAGTGCTGCTCCACGTCCCGGGGGAGCGGAGCACGCGGACACATCTCCACGCCCCCCGGAGCTCCACCCTGGGGGCCCCAGCGGCTGCGCTTGCAAACCTGCTCCAAGCTATCTCGGCGCACCCTGCACGCGTTCCGTGACAGCCGAAGCGCGCGACCGCACAGCTCCGCGTGCGCCCCCTTCCCTCGCACCTGCGCGGGCTTCGGAGGAAGCCTTCTCTGGGGTCGGCGGCAGAGGCTGCAGCCGTTCGATTACAAGCGTATGGTGTAGCGCATATGACCTGATTCCTGGCCTCGGCTCCGTAGTTGGCCCATGCACACTCTTGGCAAACCGTCGAGCCCCGCATTTGGCCCCGTAGGTCGGCGATGTAGGGCACAGTGGATCAGCGTGGGAAATATAACGACACACTACACTGCGAAGTACGGGTAAGGTAATGTAGTGTAACCTCCGTAGGAGCCATCTGATCACATGATTGCGTCCGTGGGTCAACCCTATGGCTCCTGGAACATAAGCAGAACCAAACAGAATCGAGTTCGCTTACAATTTGACTACGCAGGCCAGCCCTATGGCTCATCAAGTGATAGCAGAGATCACACTAGAGCAGGGAATGATAGCCCCCAAGCGCGCGAGCACAGTGCGGAATATATTGCCATACGCATTGCATGCTCTTCACTACCGCACTCGTGCTCCGCAACTCCCCTCCTGGCGTCAATGATGGCCCGTCTGTTCGTGGATCATGCCTGCGTGAACAGGAGGAGGAAGAGGATGAGGAAGAGGAGCGCCAGCGAATCGAAGTCCAGAGGACAAGAAAGTCTCACTGCTGGTGATCATCACATCCCACTGCTGCTGCTCCCCCTCCTCCCCCTTCTCCTCGCCTTCCCCCTCCTCCTCCTCCTCCTCCTCCTCCTCCTCCTCCTCCTAATCCTCCTCCGCTTCCTCCTGATATTATTATGATTAGTCTCATCCGTACTATTGCTACTAGTATTGTTATTAGTATCATTGTTAGCAGAAGTAGTATTACTTGTCGTCCCCTTAGCATTGCTATTCTTAGTAGTATTACTATTCGTCGTCTTCTTAAAACTCGGATTCGTATTACTATGAGTATTGCTACACGTCTGCATAACAGTATTATTCGTAGTAGTACTAGAAAGATTTTGATATCCCACCAACCCTCTGGGCGCAGGTGGTCTAGAGCGTTCCCTTCTCCAACCTCCTTCCTTTCCCTGCTCGGGAGGTGTACCTCTCCCCCCCCCCCTGCGTCTGGACGGGCTCCCCCGCGAGGTGTCAAAGGGCCGTTTTCGGCCCAAGATGTCTCCAAGACGGCGTCATAGAGTGCGAGATGGCCTCCAGGATGGCCCAAGATAGCTGTAGATGGCTCAAGATAGCCTCCGACACGCATTCAAGAGGCCTCATGACGGCCCCAAAACGGTTTCAAGTGTCCTCCGAACCCTCTGAAGACTCCCCCAAGAGGCCAAAATCCTTCAACAACCTAAGGAACATCAATGTGTTTTGTTTTTTTCGCATTTTCGCCTCCGATGGGCTCTTGAGGCCTCAAGATGGCCCCAAGACGGCCCAAGATAGTCCCACGAGGGGCCCAAGAGGGCCCCAAAAGGGCCCCAAGCGCGCCCAAGAGCGCTTCAAGAGCGGCCCAAGAGGGCCCCAAGGGGGCGATGGGAGTTAGAACCCCCCATGGTTTTTATTGAAAAGGGTCCTGGACGGCCCCAAAAAGGCCCCTCAGGCATCCTAAAAGAGCCCCAAGAAGGCCTCCAGACCCCCAAAAGAGTCCCAGGACAGCCCCAAGACGCCCCAAAAGAGCCCACAGAGGGCTCCAAGAAGGCCCTAAGAGAACCTCACATGAGCCCCAAGAACGAGCTCCACGAGGGCCCCAAGAGGGCCCCAAGAGAACCCCAAGAGAGCCCCAAGATGGATCCAAGTTTCGAAACGAACGCGAGTTTAAGATACAAATCAGCGCAAAAACCATTACGAGTCATCGAAACAGCGGAGAGTCCAGTCAGAGCGGGGCGCGCAAAAACGAATTCACCTAAAACGGTGGGCCGGAGCCTCACAAAGCACCTCAGCGGCCGGGCCGGCGAGTGGAAAAGGGCTGACTGCAACGGCTGGGAAGGGATACGCGAAGCGTGAACAATTCCTTCTAGTAGTAGTAGTAATACTACTACTACTACTACTACTACTACTACTACTACTACTACTACTACTACTACTACTACTACTACTACTACTACTACTACTACTACTACTACTACTACTACTACTACTACTACTACTACTACTACTACTACTACTACTACTACTACTACTACTACTACTACTACTACTACTACTACTACTACTACTACTACTACTACTACTACTACTACTACTACTACTACTACTACTACTACTACTACTACTACTACTACTACTACTACTACTACTACTACTACTACTACTACTACTACTACTACTACTACTACTACTACTACTACTACTACTACTACTACTACTACTACTACTACTACTACTACTACTACTACTACTTACTACTTACTACTACTACTACTACTACTACTACTACTACTACTACTACTACTACTACTACTACTACTACTACTACTAC